TATTGTATGCTTAATTAAAAAGTTTTCCAAAATACAGAAACAAAGTATTTTTCTTCTGAACAACTTTTATTTCTTCAACATTGGCAACAGGCAGTGTACTAATGTACAAAGAAATGTTCATTTTGTTAGATACTTGCTTGGATTTTAATGAGGACTAGTTTAGCCCAAGGTCCAATAATAACTTACCATCACTTTAAGCAGTGGAATATAAGAATTCATTTCAACTAATATCAGGCATGACACTAATTCAGTATTAAATGCTAAGCACATTAGCAATTACAGTACAGTGCACTGTTATTTCCCAAGTCTCTATAGTAAAGTTTTCATTATTAATGGTTTTTTTTTTTCTTTTCCATGCAAAACTTACCATTTGAAGTAGTATGGGTACAAAACAGCCCAATCATTAGAATTTTTGGTTATACATTTAAATATACATTCATTATGACCAAATCTGTCCCCTTAATGCAACTACAAGACTCATGTAATTCTATAGAAGTTAATAGGATAGTAGGTGCTTGAATCACTGTGCTTAACTCATGAGAAACCAATCTGTTTCTGTAAGCGCAATAAACCAAAAAGAGAGCCTTGAATCCTTTCTATTTCTCAAAGTATAATTAAAGTTACATTGTCTGACTCATTTCCCTTTGCAGTCTAAAGACATTTTCTGTGGTATATTATACATCGAAATGGGATGATTACATTTTTAAGGCATATTTACATAAACAAATATGTGCGTTTTAATTTGTGCCTAAGACCATGTGTATTATCATTATAACTCTTCCTTACTTTATTATCAGTAATTTTGGAAACAAAACTGGAAATTATTTCTAAAATAGGCTCAGAAATCTTTAATTAAATAGGGTGACCATCTTGGTTTGCCCAGGATAAGAATTACTTAGGGTTCTTAGTTTCCAAGTGGGACAATTCCAAGCAATTTTAGTATCAAACCAAGTCAATCCCACACATGGGTACAAGTTGGTTACCCTAAACCAGGATGAAATGGTGCTAAGTGAAGAATGTTCTGGGAAAAGGAATTAAAAAAAAAATCTTGTTGCAAATTTCTCTTTTTACCTTCCCAAAACCAAAATCAAAGTAGAACATGTAAAGGATGCTGTTATCTCTCTGGATCCAGAACCAAGACAACAAAAATACCCAAAAGTCCTGCTGAAGGCAATGAGGGGTAAGGCCTGAGTTCTACATCAAATGGCTGGATTCCAGTCTAGGCTTTTCCATCTACTTGGTGGGTGATTTACTGCCTTTGTTGTCTTAGATATAAATAGAAGTTCTAATAATAATACCCAACTTGTAGGGTTGCACGAACAATGCCTTTTATGTATTAAGAGTTCAGGAAGTGAGTTGTTTTCATTGTGCTCTTCATTGTGATTGGCAACTTGGAACAGGTAAGTTGTCTGCCAGTGATAGTAACCATCATATGAGATTTTTAGGATTACTTGTTAGTCTTAATACACTGCAAGGTGTGGCTTCCATCACCTATTAACCCCAGTTATATATTTTTATTTGTTTATTTTTCTAGTTCAAGATACACATAAGATGGCAGAAGAAATTTTTAAACTTAGAAGTCTTTCAAGAAATGTGGTATCATCGAAATGAACGAGCAGATAATAAAATTATCAGGCTTCTTTTGAAGCTCATTTTGTAGTTTATGAAAGATACTAACACACTTTATTTTTTTTAAAACAACCTATAATATAGCTACTTTATTGAGTATCTTACTAAATGATTCTGAGATTTCATTATAGAAGGCATAGTGATAGTTATTCTTGGCCATGGATGTTGGGTGCAAAGCCGAAGAGCATTTTGGAGTTCAGTAGGGCACAGTTTGGTCTGGCCGCCAGCAGGACGTTGCTTCTGTTAAAGCTATGAAAAGAGAGACTGATGAAATAGATTGTGAGTTGACTTTGAAATTGTAAGTAATAACCGAGTTCCTTGAAAATTACGTTGTTCTAAATGTTTGTAGCTAATATTAAGGTCTCATCCTAACTAGGCAAGTGTGGCGGTGGGAGTGGGGATAAGGGATCTGCCCATTCCTTCCACTCTACGCCATTACAGATTTGTGGTAGAAACTTTCTAAAGAACACAAAGTAGGCTTGTGCTTGATCTTTGATATTAATTTAACAATTAAATTTATTATGGGATGCACAGTAAAGATAATTTGTCTGTGGAAAGAAATTGCAGGACTGATTTTTCTTGTAAAATTTATTTCCAGCATTTAGTAAGTACTATGCAAAAGATCATTAAGAAAATACTGGAACCAACCAAAAGTTTAATTTGGAAAACTTGTCCCTTATAATCTAAATAAGCTGTCAAAATGTCATTGAAAAAGTTACTTAAAATACTTATTTTGATCCTGGATGTGGTGACTCAGAACCATAATTCCAGCACTTTGGAGGCTGAGGCAGGAAGACAGCAAGTTCAAGGCCAGCCAAGGCTTCTTGGCAAGTTCCAGGCAAGCCTGGGCTACACAGAAAAACCCATTTTTAAAAAAAAAGCTTTTAAAAATGAAAGAGAAAAGCCTAGAATTCTGAATTTTTTGTAAATAAGGATAAAGATTTTAAAAGAAATTTAAATTAATTTTTGACAATCTAGGCTGACATACAATATATTCTATATTCTTAACACCTCTGTGTTTGTTACAACTGATTCCTGATTCTCAATATCAGGTTCATCCTGCAGCATATTTTGTATCATGAGACTTTATTTAATATGAAAACATAACATGCAGGCATCCTACAGATGTGTGTAGTTATGCTACCTTCAGCACTGAAAAGTATTTGCCCAATTTAGTGTAAAAAACTTACTTTTGATTAAAACCCCTGAATAGTTTTGAAGTGCTGTTGTTTTAGGGAAAATGATTTTGTTTGTATTTTTGTTTTTCCATTTTTATTTTTGTTCCTATAGACAGGCTTTCTACAAGTGAGGGAGACTCTTCTCTACTTTATTCTGCCCAGGGATATTAAGATGAACTCTACAGACAAAGCTGTGCTTGACAGTTGTCTAAGGATATCCCTTACACATGGCTTCTGATATATTTTTAGACAAAAACTCATGGTCTTATGTACCCCAAAGAGATCTATAATAAAAGCCATTTAGTGCCTTTAGATTTTCCCAGGGAAGTGAAGAATTCCCACAGGTTAAATAAGATAAGAATTTGGATTTTTACCTGAGAGAAGGAAGTTGTCACAGAAGCTTTTTAGAATGTAGTCAGTTATACAAAGTCATGATACTTTCACTTGGTTCACTTTTAATTGAAACAACAATTCAGAATTATTACTTACTGCTGTCTATTTGTATGTTATTCATTACAAATGAAATGTTTCGGGAATTATCTACTTCCAAAAATGTTTGTGTTGCAAAGCAGACAAATTAAGTGTCTTATGTCATTTGTACTAAGAGAATTACATCATAATTTCTGTGGAACAATGTTTAGGATTTCATATCCTTTGTCATTTACAACTTGAATTACAAACAAGTATACTTTAAATAAAAACACTTGTGAGGGTGTCAGTGCCAGTGAGTGGCTAGGCTAGTGGGTCTCTTTCTTTCTCTTCTTTTCTTTCTCTCTCTCTACCTCTCTTTCTTTACTTCCTCCTTTCAGATATAGAAAGTTGTGTTTAAAAGCAAAAATGAGCAAGTTTTTTGTGTTCTTGGCTAACTTTAGATTCCAGTGAATAGTTTTGCATTGTGATTTAGTTTTATTTTCTATCTACTTTTAGTGTTAAGGGATGAATAGATAGAACATTGAGGGTTTTAATATTAAGCACCCAAGAATAGCAATGAGAAAAATAGTTAATAAAGAAGCTATAAAGTTGGATGAGTTGGTGAGGATATAGTTAAATATTGAGGATTTCGGTATTAGTTAAATAGCTTGGGGATTCTAAACGTGTTCCCATGATAGAGAATAATCCTTGGACAGAAAAGCTGTTACTTAATCATCACCATTTTGGCAAACATTGTGTTGGCAGGGACAGAGATGCCAGGAAATAGAGGTAAGATAGTGACCCGTATGGTGAACAGTGCCCTGCGTCTCCCCTCTTTTATAGAATTTTTCATCTTCAAGGTTGTGTCAGGATTTCTTCCTTGCTGATCAAGTGGAAAGATACATTCCTAACGGTTAGTTGTCACGAAAGTGATGCTTTTAAAGGTGTGGTTCAGTTTCAGAATGAATGTTTTTGTTCTCCCCACTCCCTTCTTCATCAAGTCCAGCAAATGGAAGACGCAAGGCCCCTTAGTGAACCACTCTACAAACACTAGCTCAAGTGGGTGGGGATATCCGAGAAGCTGAGTGGCCTTTAGCGCCCAAATGCGTTTTGGGATTTGGCCTTTTCCCTAAGGAGAGTTGACTGACCCGAGTTCAGACAGGACAGAAAAGGGAAAACTAGCAGAAACAGGCAGAGTAGCAATGCTTGCCAGGTGTGTGAGTGTGTGTGTGTGTGTGTGTGTGTGTGTGTGTGTGTGTGTTTGTGTGTGGAAGGTAGGGTTCGCGGGGGGGGGTTGGGAATCAGAACCCCACACACATCCCCTTCCCGAGAGACACCTGGATGTAACCAGGAAGCCCTCCCAGATCCTGTCCCTCTCACCTCTTGAGAGGCAAGTTTCTTTGCAAGCGTTAGCCACCTGTGTGAGGCGCTCCCGTGGGAAAGGTGGCGTGGGAGAAGCGAGAGCTCAGTCACACCGCTCGGGAGCTTTTCTCGGTGAGGCTGGAGGATGACATCCCTCCTGAACTCGGGGCTTTAGGGGATGCGGAGTCCGCCCTGCCCTCGTATGACGCAAGGATCCTAGTCCAGCATCCTCAGGACTGGAATACTCTGCGGCCGTCTGACGTCTGTTCAGTTTGCTCGGGGTCCTCTCTGTCCTCTCCTTCCCACCTCTCCACCCCCAAAGTAGAGCTCCCGCCCCGCTCCGCCCGCACACCCCCGGCGCGCCCGGAGCGTTATCAGGCTCCCCACACGCACCGCCCGCTTCCTTTGGCGCCCGGCGCTAGTGACCCCGGCAGACCAGCCGCTGCCTCGGGGCCCCACTCACGTCCCCCGCGCCGCCGCCGCCGCGCTCCACGCCTTTAAAGTCGAACCCGGGTTTGGACCTGATGCTTTGCTCATCCCCACATTCAGCCTCTCCGTAAGCCCAGAGAAGTGGAATCTGCACACTGAAACTCTCGGTGGCTGGAGCGGGCGGACTGGGCATGCTCAGAAGCCAGGGCTGGCTTTGGTCTCAAGTAGGAAGCTTTTGCACTCGGAGGCAGCGGCGACTTTGGGGAAAGTTGATCGGAGAGGGGAGGAAGCCCCAAGACGCGGAGCAGCGGCAGGAAGGAGCCCCCGGCAGCCCGGAGGAGCATGGGCACCCTGCGGGATTTACAGTATGCGCTCCAGGAGAAGATCGAGGAGCTGAGGCAGCGGGATGCTCTCATCGATGAGCTGGAGCTGGAGTTGGATCAGAAGGATGAACTGATCCAGAAACTGCAGAACGAGCTGGACAAGTACCGCTCGGTGATCCGGCCGGCCACCCAGCAGGCGCAGAAGCAGAGCGCAAGCACCTTGCAGGGCGAGCCGCGCACCAAGCGGCAGGCGATCTCTGCGGAGCCCACCGCCTTCGACATCCAGGATCTCAGCCATGTGACCCTGCCCTTCTACCCCAAGAGCCCACAGTAAGCAGGGGTTACCCGCAGGGTCCGTGTGGCACCCTGGCGGTGGGGAGCTGCGGGTCTCTGTATTGTCTGTCGGCCCCCGCCCCTCCCGCTTGCCATGTCTGTCCTCATCCTCAGAAATGTTTCATTTTCACGGGGACTTCTTGCGGGCTGTGCACGTTTCTCAGAGCCAGACTCACTGCACATACATTGCCTTCGTGTCTTTGTCAGATGCCAAGGTATTTTTAATATACATATACATTCATATATGCCACCTACTGTACATAGAGTTTGAACGTGCCCAAGGTGTGTGTCCGACAGTGTGTGAGTGACTGTGTACGGAGGAATATAAAAAAAAAATTCCTTCTCCCCAAAGCCCTGGCAAACCTGGCCAGCCAGAAAATCCTAAATGCAGGCTCATCAGACTTGAAATGAAATGCGTCTGATATCACCCTTACTTTCTATGCTCTCGTGGCTATCCTGGATTTCTCTCCATGCTGGCGCTTCACGCCAGTACCCTTCAAGCCTGATATTCTGTTATCCACAATGTGTAAAAAAATGAGTAAATATGCATATAAAAGGGAAGAATGATTTCCTGAATTGGATGATATTTACAATCCATAAATGGGAGAGGAGTCTGTTGCGTTTTTTGAAAAAAATTTTTCTTAACATCTAAAGGGAGAACATTGCTTATTTTCCTGAAGAAATTTTTCTGTGATTATTAATGAGCTGCTTTATGTCTCAGGAGGGTTTGCATGTTTTCAGGGTCAGATATAGATAAGTACACTTCTCTTTATTTACACTGTGGATCCATCCTTTGCCTTACTTCTAGTGCAACCACACTGGCATTGTTCTAGCATTTTAGAGAACGGTGTAGTTCCGATGTCAATGGGATTCCTAACTTGGATGGAAAAATTGAATGAAACTTGTTATACAACACTCAACTCAGAGTGCATATGGAGACTATGCAACAGGAACACGAGGTTAACAGACAGTGAGAGAGATCACCAAGTTGAGTGATATTTTTAATTAACAAATAATGACAATAAAGTGAAGGGTTTTGCTGCTGTACTCAACTAAATCACACTGGTTGGATGACACGTGTTACATAATAATAGAAGGTCCCTTGGAATCTTTCACTTTATAAACACGGAATTAGTAAGAGAAGAAGGAGCAAATACTTGGTTATCTCCATTTGTATTTATTGGCTGAAGGCATCATGACTAGGTACTAATTATACTTTGGAAAACTTAAGAATTGTACCTATACTTGTTAGTTCCCATGGAACATTTGCAGTTCTTGCAGGTTTAGGTGACAAAGGAGTTTGTAGTCTGTGAAGTGGGGAAGGGTCAATAAGGATAAACATTCCCAAGATTCTGACCGTACCAACTTGCCATAATCATTCAGCAGACTTAAACCTGTCTTTGAAACTTGAGGGATCTAAAAACACTGCCACTTTCTCTGGTAGATTAATTTGCAGTCCTGACATGCTTGCCCGTTTTAGCTGACAAGGTACAAGGCCATCTCTCCTGGGCCAAGTTTTGCATAATGGAAAAAATAAATCAAAGACAGCTCTTTGCATCTTGAAGCATTCTATAGGATCTCACTTTGTGTCTGCAAGACTTTAGGGTAACACAGAACAAACTGCTTTTATAAAAAAGACCAGTTAAATAGGTTTTATAATGAAACATCATCAAGCCAGCTGATAACTCCAGTTAAACATTCTATCAGAGAAGATCTAGAGGAGTCTAGGGGAAGGGAATGAGCTGTAGAGTGTGGCATGTTTCAGAAGCCTGATGGTGCTTGACACATAATAAAACTAGATTTTTTAAAGTTCATGGTAGAAAATGAAATTAGGGTGGCAAATAATTCATAACATTCCATTATAATACACATTTTACCTATTGAACAATGCCATGCGTTCTGATATTTATTTAATAACTTGTATTTTAAAGAACTCAGTAGTGAAGGTATTGCTATGGTGGTTTTCTGATTCTGAAGGATTATATTATATGAAGAAAATGATAGAATGTCTTCCAAGTTTAAATAATTTTGGAAAAACATCTGTTCTTTTTTCACACTTACATAAAGAAAATGAGAATAAAATTGGCTTGGGTGGTAGAGTGTACCTTTCTTTTGGGAAAAAAGTATATTGTATCAAAATGATTATTATCTACGTCATTTGAATGACTGTACAAGATAGCCCCATATAGAGTTTAGTAAACTTGCCAATCCAAAGACTTGTTTACATTTCAATTTATTTCATTTAAATAATTTGATTATTCGACTTACTGGCAACAAGTGTTTCTGTCTTTATTCTTAAGGTTTAGTGCAATTTAAATTTAGTCATTTTAAGATTACACATAGATTTTTGTGAGCTCAAGTTAAAATGAAACCATCCATTAGACCAAAATTGATTTCAATTCCACATTCACATTGGTCTTTGGTTCTTTTCCTGTCAGACATAGGTCACTGCCCGGCTGATGTTCTGTTCAATTATCTGAGGTATGCAAATATGTTTGTTTAAAGTTTGCTTACTGACATTGCCTGTTGAGGATTATAATATTTTAAAATTTCTGTTTTCTTAGTGACTTTTGATCACTTGAAATACACTATAAAATAAAGCTAACTTAATAACTTTAGTCCTGTTAACATTTTTGGTTTGGAATTTTCCCTTTAAGGTGGGAATTGGAAGGCAGGATCTGTCAGATTCCACCAGAGAGCCAGGGCACTTCTACTGCATCTATAAAATGGGGGGAGTGTTTTTTTGTCCATCTCTTTTACAACTTGTGTAGATATAGCCCTTAATCCCTGCTTAGGCTATGAATGTGAAGCAAAGAACTGATGTAGCAAATTGGAATCTATATTCACTGCTGCCACATATGTACTTGAGAATGTAAACTACTAGACTGTATGTCTGGAAATAAGTTGAGCAAATAAACACTTAAAATGAAACATACAAAGACAAACCCAAGCACCCATTCTATAAGACCAGATAGCCTGTTGTTTCTTATGAACTTCTAAAGTAATTTCATTTCATGATGTGTCATTCTTGAAAAGACTGTAGACTAGTAGACTGTTCAGTATACTACTGAGAGATATTTTGATCAAACCTTATCTATTCTTAGTGTTCCCAAATCTTTTCCAATTTGTTGTCACAAGCTTCCATGTCATTTCAGTTGGACTATATAGATTTGAGTTCCTGTCAGAAGTCATTAGTGTCTCTGTATTTTTGTAAAGCCGTTGCTTTTCATCCCAGAGGTAGCTGTATTTCAGAGAATGATGAAATACATCATCATTCTGCTGTGTTCCACTGTGTGGTTGTGAAGTACTTTGGAAGGGCTGAGGATAAGAAGAAATATATTCCTTTAAAAGGAGGCATTAATTTTAAAAATATCTTATATGAGCTTCTAAACCTTGACACTAATGTATCTCAGGAGAAAAAGAGTCTTCCTAAATGCTGCATATTCAGTTCTGTAGTAAGCCAAGAGAATTACAGAATTTTAGTGTCATTGTAGACGGCATAATATTAAAATATAGATTTTCTCAAATGTAGGAATGAAGTTTCAAATGTGCCCTGTAAGTCAGTTCAGTACTTTTATGGGAAGAATGCCATGTTCAAATATTGTAAGACATTATAGGTAAGAGACACATAGATCCTGCCATCAAGGAGTTAACAAGGGGCTAACGATACTGTAATTATTTTAGAAGCTTGAGTGATGGGAGTTGAAGAGGTGATAACTAAGACAGCTGGAAAATTATATAGAGCATGCTTAATTTTATGGTATTAGAAACTCTTGTGGAAGTGCCAGTTTTTAAACTAAGCATTTGAAGGACTGCCATGATTCAGGTGCTTGCTAATGAGATGGGGAGGGTTGAGAGAGGATGGGGGTTGGAGGCATGCAGTCCAAGCCCTTAGTAAAGAAACAGGTCACAGCTGGGGGGAATAGCAGCCAGTAGTGGCTGCACTAAAGTATTATAGAGGAAGTTGAGGAAAACCAAGTTTAGGTCAGTGGGCAGAATCTCAGTGTCTATCATTTTAAACCAGAGAACATTTCTGCTTGTTTTAGTAATAATCAAGAATCATGTGTGTGTGTGTGTGTGTGTGTGTGTGTGTGTGTGTGTGTGTGTGTGTGTGTGTTTTACACCAAAGAACTAATATTACCCACTCATAAAGTTCTGAATCTCAGGATGTAGGTCCAGCCCTCTTCTCCCCACCAGCACAGTCTTTATAATAACTATACTAACGAGGTAAGTATTTGCTGAACTAACTAGTTCAGCAAGCAGTAGATGATGAAAACCTTTAAAGAAACCAAGTTCCACTCTTAAGCCAACTTCTTCTTTCTACTCCAGAATGAAATTTCCCACTGAAATTAATCTAATCATATGCCATAGACCAGTACTGTGCACTCCTCACACATTCCAGCAAACTGGACACAGATAACAATGGAAACTGAAGTTAGTTTTTGAAATTCATCTTTCCTGTTTTTGTGGAGGAGTTAAATTCCATTCTAATATTAGTATAATGGTTTCCAAGTTAAATTTGATTGTTAATTGGACACTGAGCTTATGTAATAAAATGGAATTCATGGAAACCTTTATAAAAATGTATGCAGCCAGGTTGCTAAAACTCTATTAGGGTGTTTCGAAGCACACCCTAAAATGGTGTGCCCCTAAAATGGGGTTATAATGAAAATACTGACAAGCCTTTAAATACAGCAGCTCTGGAGACTGCCTGAGAATATAAATGACCAGCTCCCCTGCTCTACTGGGCCACATTTCCAAGCTCCTGCTACTTGTTATTTCGCTAAAGAGTTGGGTTTGAATTCCTGATGGGAAAGGGTAGAAGACAGGCGATGTTTCCATTGTTGCTGTTTGCAGGTTATAAGGCATATGGACACATTTTTTTTTCTCTGTCTGCTTAGCAATGGAGGGTCTCCATGGTATCCTAGCAACCGTATTCGAACACCAGGCTGCTGCTCTTTCTGTCATCTCTACCATAGGTGCTGCTGCCCATCCCA